GTTAATACATTTAAGAGTTGATAGTCGTTTTATCTTTATAACTAAAAACATGGTAATTAACTACAAGTAATTTAATTAAAATTTTACATTTTACAAAAGAGTTTGTTGTAATTAGACTTAGACCTTTTCAAATTACAATTTTGAAATATTCTCTCTAAAAGTAAAAGTTAATGTGGATCGGAGATTTCATAGATTTTTCTTTATTCCTCTAGTTGAATAAATCCACAAAATTCATAGAAATTTCAGGGAATTTTTTTTGTTCCTCTCATTATATGAACTTCCAAATTATGTTCCATATATAATAAGGAATCTTCCAAATCATCCTAAAGTCTTCTGATGTATAAATCCTAAAGTCTTCTGATGTATAATAAGAGAGTTTTGTTGTAATTAGACTTAGAGACCTTTTCAAATTACAATTTTGAAATATTCTCTCTAAAAGTAAAAGTTAATGTGGATCGGAGATTTCATAGATTTTTCTTTATTCCTCTAGTTGAATAAATCCACAAAATTCATAGAAATTTCAGGAAAAAAATAAAATTTCCTCTCATTATTTGAACTTCCAAATTATGTTCCATAATAAGGAATCTTCCAAATCATCCTAAATCCTAAAGTCTTCTGATGTATAAATCCTAAAGTCTTCTGATGTATAAACCAATAATAGGAGACTAAGCAAAAAGTAATATACATGAAGTAATCAAGGTTCATGATATTAGCACATTGTGCTATATGTTTAAATAAATAACTCAAGAAACACTTTTTTTTTAATTCGCATTTTGTGGTCTGAGGAGGTTTGGTGAGGGAGATTATGAATATTATCATATATAGAAAAGAGCATCTTTCTGGTGTAAACACATAAACTAATCCCCATGCGCCATCATGCCTACCCTCCACCAAAAAATTTAAAAATAGCTAACCAATAACTAGCCAAGTGACTATACTATTGCTTCTTTGGGTAATTAGTATTTGAACAATTACTCAGGAAGACTTTTACAATCCTGAACTCATTCTTGAGATTTATAAAAGCAATTTTGATGCACGGTAAATATAGTGACTTGTACCACAATCAATATCTTTTTAACTAAAACATGAACTTGGAGATGAATTTGAAAGTTGAAAGCTTTACTGATTTATATAAGGTGAATTAAGAATAGTTGTAGAGGAATAAGAAACCTAATTTCTTGATAAATCAAATGGAAGAAACAGAGCAAGCTATTGTATCTCTAGCATCAAAACTCAGTTTTTTTTTTTGGGTTTCATCGTCCGTGGGAGGCGAAAGAATGTGTAAACGACAATGTACTTGTTGAATTCACATCAAGTAGCACTTCCATTGATATTTTAGGCCGCTCTCTCAATCTCTCAGCCCTTACCACATCAAGAAGATTTTCCGGAAGCTGCAAAACGCCATTCAAGATCCGCATAACCGCACTCATATCCGGTCTAATCGATTCAGCTTGATGCGAACACAACACACCTAGCTTCAAAACAAGCTCAATTTCTCCCCTGTTTTGTTCTTGACGGATACTTTCCTCACTCGCATCGAAAATTTTCCATTCTTCCCAAAGCTCTAGGATCCAATCCACAAGAACGTCTTCGTTCTTCGCTTCACGTCGCTCAATCAATCTTCTACCGCAAACTACTTCAAGCATAACCAAACCAAAGGCGTAAACATCAGTGCTTGTAGTTGCTCTTCCTGTTCTTAGAAACTCAGGTGCAATATACCCGAATGTTCCTGCTACTTTAGTCGTTTGAGGATCAAATCCCGGATCATACAACTTCGCCAATCCGAAATCCCCGAGCCTCGCATTCATTTCATGGTCGAGTAAAACATTAGCCGGTTTGATATCTCGATGAATGATGACTTGTACCCATTCTTGATGCAAGTACAATAGAGCAGATGCAATATCTCTGATGATCTTGAAACGTTGCTCCCAAGAAAGCCTTTCTTGATTCTCATCCGTGTCACTACGGTTTAGATACTTGTCTAAGCTTCCATTGGGCATGAAGTCATAAACCAAGAAGAGATCATCTTTATGTCTACAATATCCCAAAAGCCTGACTAAATTAGGATGTCTGAGACGACCAATGGTCGATATCTCGGCTAGAAACTCCCTCTTTCCTTGACTTGAACCATGAGAAGTCCGTTTCACAGCGATCTCTCCATCAGAGCCCGAAAGTGTTCCTCTATAGACTTGACCAAAACCTCCACTTCCAAGAATTTGTTTCTCCTTGAAACCCTTTGTGGCATTGAATAGCTCCTTGTAAGCAAACTTATGAGGTCCGTATTGAATCTCCCATTCCTCAATAACCTCTTTTACCTTCTTATGCCTCAGATAGAAGACGAAACCAAACCCGGAGGTGACAAATGCAACGATCACCGCCAACGTTAAGCAGACCGCTAAAATAGTCCTTGTTTTGTCAGACACTTTCTTCGGATATGGAGGAAGCGTGGGGACTACGCTTACATCAAACATCGGATAGTCGACTTCCGGACCAGTCATCGTAGTCAGCATATAATGGAGTGCTCCAATTGATCCGGTCGATGCCGTGAAGCCATAATACATCTTCTTCAAAAGATACGGCGAGAGATCTCGGTTTAAAGTGAAAAGCGGTTTCAATGGCGGATCAGTGAACTCAGCAGGGCTTAGGGTGACATCGAGCTGTTTATCCGGTTGGCTATAAACAACCGAAAGCCGCATTACCTTTCCGCTAACTAAAGAAAGATTGTGAAATCTTCCATCTTTATCATCATAGTAACCAGCAGGAGCAGAGATAACAGACCTCAAGCCATTGATGTTAACCCCAACATGATTATCATCAATATCTCCAAACTCATCGTCTTTATGTATATCTAACTCGATAGCTATTACGTGATTCGAGGCTTTACCGTTGTTTGTCTCATTGAATAATCCAAGGTACTGATCGGAGGAAACTCCGGGAAGGCCTATTGTAGGAGAAAGAACGAAAGTCATACCGTGTGAGCCTGAGTGATTATGCTCAGGGACGATTCCGAAGTGGAAGTGGAAGTGGAAAGACGAGTTCTTGTAGTAAACAGGTTCGGTACTGAAAAGTTGACCGTAGGAATGCTTCGTAGTGTTCGTTAAAATGGTGAAACCGCTGGTGTCGAAAGATGCAGATCCCTCCAAGATCAGTTTGCCATTGGAGTGGTAGGTAGATAGAGACAGAGTAAAGAACAGAAGAAGAATTATTTGCATGGCTTTGAGTTCACTAGACAAGTTCTGATTTTTTTTGTTGGTTGCTTATGGGAAGAGTTTGATCTTACTATGAATATTTATGTCATCTCATAAGAGTTGAGTAAAGAACATAAAAGAATGCCAAATTGTAAAAGCAGAGTCGGAATAATGGCGAAGAACGTTCTCGTGTTATTCCTTGATAATAATAAAACATTTGTATTTTACACACATGGCTTAAATCAAGTCGTAAAGCAAATCAAAGTTATCTTCTAATCCTTATTAAATCAAAAGCAATTATGGTGGGATTTGTATAGAGCGTGTTTTAGTTAATCCTTATATAAACCACTGACTTTCTTTGGCATAAGAATAATTGGTGGGTCAAAAATTGCAAAAAGACAGAAATTTTCTATGATCTTAAAAACCTTTTAAGGATTAAACAATAACAAGAGTGTGAAAAAAGCATATAAAAGCAACAATCAAACAAAGCTTTTCTTTTTCACAACCAAAGTTTTGAGCATAAAAATATAGTATGTTTTTGACATGTTTTAATGTAGCTTCTGACAATTTTTCTACTGGTTTAAAGGATTTTAGTGAAGATATATATGTCACCAATATGTCATGGATTGATCATTACAAATTTATATAATCCTATACAATATAACATACTTTACATCGTTTTGTAGAACATTAGACATCAGAGCCTACAAATTTTCCGGTTTCACTATTTGCCTTATTGATAAAAAAGGAATTGCTTAGCACTCAGACTGCAAAAACTTACAGTAGAAAGAAAAGAGATTTGCACAAGTAAGACCATATTGCATCTGTTCATACCTCAGGCTGCATTTTGTCAACCTCTTCTCAGATCGACTGAAACAGCATGGTCGACAGATATCGCTCCCCCGAAGCTCGAGACAACGACCTGAAAACCGAATTCATAGACTTCATTCACAGAATTACATAATCAATCTCTTTATTGGCTTTATAGATTATACATATTTTAACACACAAGAAGATGAAAAAGCTAAGTGAATGTATTGTTGCTAACACCTACAAAAGCAAGCTATTGAATATAAATGTTCATGAAAACTCAATTCTTTTCGGGTTTCATTGTCCATGGGAGATGAAAGAATGTGTAAACGTCAATGTACGAAATGAGTTCACATCATGTAGTACTTCCATTGAAATCTCATGCCGTCCTCTCAACTTCTCAGCCGTTACCACATCAAGAAGATTATCCGGGAGGTGCAAAACGCCATTCAAGATCCGCGTAACCGCACTCATATCCGGTCTAATCGATTCAGCTTGATGCGAACACAACATACCTAGCTTTAAAACAAGCTCAATTTCTCCCTTGTTATGTTCTTGACGGATACTTTCCTCACTCGCATTGAAAATGTCCCCCTTTTCCCAAAGCTCTAGGATCCAATCCACAAGAACTTCTTCGCTCTCGGCTGCACGATGCTCAATCAGCCTTCTACCGCAAACTACTTCAAGCATAACCAACCCAAAGGCGTAAACATCAGTTTTTGTAGTTGCTCTTCCTGTTCTTAGGAACTCTGGTGCGATGTATCCAAACGTTCCCGCTACTCTAGATGTCTGAGGATCAAATCCTTGATCGTACAACTTCGCCAATCCAAAATCTCCGAGCCTTGCATTCATATCATGGTCGATTAAAACATTAGCCGGTTTGATATCTCGATGTATAATGACTTGTACCCATTCTTGATGAAGGTGTAGTAGAGCAGCTGCAACATCTTTGATGATTTTGAAACGTTGTTCCCAAGTGAGCCGTTCTTGATTCTCGTTCGTCTTGTTACGGTTTATATACTTCTCTAGACTTCCATTGGGCATAAAGTCATAAACCAAGTAGAGATCTTCTTTATGCCTACAATATCCCAAGAGCCTGACTAGATTCGGGTGTCTGAGACGTCCAATGGTAGATATCTCGGCTAGGAACTCGCTCATCCCTTGTCTCGAACCATGAGAAGTCCGTTTCACAGCGATCTCTGCACCAGAAGACAAAAGCGTTCCTTTGTAGACTTGACCAAACCCTCCTCTTCCAAGAAGCTGTTTCTCTTTGAAACCCTTGGTGGCATTGGATAGCTCCTTGTAAGCAAACCTATGAGGTCCATATTGAATCTCCCATTCCTCAAGAACCTCTTGAACTTTCTTATGTCTTAGATAAAAGACGAAACCAATCCACGAGGCGACAAACGCAACGATCACGGATATCGTTAAGCAGACTGCTAATATCGTCTTTGTTCTGTTAGATGGTTTCTTCGGATATGGAGGAAGGTTGGGGACTGTGATAGCCTCCCATATCTTGGCTTCTGATTCCACTGACACACCCATCTTATAATGAAGTGCTCCAATGGATCCGGTTGATGCCGTGAAGCCCCAGTACATCTCCTCCAAAAGATACGGCGAGAGATCTCTGTTTAAAGACAAAAGCGGTTTCAGCAGAGGCAACAGATCTCAAACCATTAATGTTAATCCCAACATGATTATCATCTATATCTTCAAACTCTTCGTCTTTATGTATATCTAACTCAACAGCTATCACGTTATTCGAGGTATTACCGTTGTTTGTCTCGTTGAATACCCCGAGGTACTGATCCGAGGAAGCTCCGGGAAGACTTCTTGTAGGAGTAAAAACGAAAGCCATACCGTGTGAGCCGGAGTGATTATGCTCAGGGACAATTCCAAAGTGGAAGTTGACGTTGAAAGACAAGTTCTTGATGGGAATGGGTTCATTGTTGAAAAGTTGACCGTAGGAATGCTTTGTGGTGTTCGTTAAAACGGGGTAACCGCTGGAGTCTAAACCTGCAGCTCCCTCCCAGATCCACTGGCCATTGGAGTTGTAGGTAGATAAAGACAGAGTAAAGAACAGAATAAGAATTATTTGCAAGACTTTGAGTTCACTTGACATGTTCTGTTTTTGTTTTTGCTTATGGGAAGAGCTTATTATAAGAGTTTAGTAAAGAACATAAAAGAAGGCCAAACTGTAAAAGCAGGGGTCGAAATCATGGGACCAAACGTTCTTGGTGTTATTCACACAAAGTTTTTTTCTGACAATTTTTCTACTGTTGATATATATGTCAATGGATTGATCCAATTGAGCTACCAAAGAGAAAAATCCACAAAAGCAATAAAGTAAGCTCAAGAAGAAAAATACAAGCAAACAAGCACCACGTATTTTAGATACGTAGAGGGAAAATTCCACATTTTCTAGATCAAGTTTGAAATTACAAATCGTTTTATAGAACATTACACATCCAAGTCTACAATTTATTAGTCAATAGAAATGAAAAGTAGAGGTATATAATTCATCATTGTGTTTGTGTATCTAATTAAGCATTGGGGATTGATTTCCGATTAAAATGTTGAACAATACATAAAAGACTATTGACGGATGTCTAAAACAGAACTCAATCCGGTGTCAACTATTTGCCTTATTGATGAAACAATAATTGCTTAGCACTCTTCGCACAAGTATGACCAAGTTGCTTTTGTTCATACCTCAGGCTGCATTTTCTCAACCTCTTCTCGGATCGACTGGAACAGCGGGGTTGATAGATATCGCTCCCCAAAGCTTGGGAAAACAACCTGAAAACCGAATTCATAGATTCACATGTCAAGATTGAATTACATAATCAATCTCTATACTGTCTTTATAGACGATCTTGACAAAAGAAAAGGAAAAAGCCAAGTGACTTTAGTGTTGGTTCTTTAGGTTTAGTATCGGATCACAGACTCGAGAGACTTCTATAACCTTATAATCACTCTCGTAATGTTTTTCCAAAAGCAATCCATAGATTTTTAATATCACAAAAACTCCTGGATCGCCTTTTTTTTTTTATTACTAGAGACAACACATAATTGCAACGAAAAAAGACTTACAGCTATGAGTTTCCCAGCATTCTCAGGTCTCTTTGCGACTTTGATT